TCTAGCTTGTATTACATCTGAATTGAGAGCGTAAGTTATCACCATCGCTATTAACCTACTTGTTATTACATATGAACAGATATTATCCTGAAAATATTTGTAGAATTATAATCTAACAGTTTAAGAACTTTAAAAAAAAATATTCTTTTGAAATCACGCTAAAAAGTCTTCTCAAAACGAACCTGTTAGTATCTCTGCTCCGCCGCGAAAATTGTGCGTTTTTTTTTAAATAAAATAATTACGACCTAAGTGTCTTGGAAGAAAAATTTAAGCATCTCTATAGTAGGAATGGCATAAAATCTAAATCAAGGGGACAATAAATTAAGTTAAGAAATTATTCTTACCGACTTTATTGAATCCAATGTCGTATATCCCAAATCACTATTTTGCAAGAATACGGGAGCGATAAATAAGTCAATAACCACTAAATAATTTAATAAGTGCAATTATTTATTCAACAAAAATTAAAATCCAGTCACAGTTTACCAAATACAGCCATTTTTCGGTCGTATTTGTGGAGAAAGTGAACGACAATTCATCGTTTGTTTACATCGGACGCCATTTTGCCGCAATGCAAGACGGAGCCAAAGACTTCTTTTTTGGAGATCACGCTGTTTTTGGAGTTCGTCTAGACCGTTCATTAACTTGCTTTTCAATATATTATTTTGTTTTTAGAAATTGTTTTTAGAAATTTTTATTACGTGGAGCATGTGTTTTGAATCGAATGAGCTGAGAAACAAACTTCTATTAGCAAAAGTAAATGGCATATTGATTCATAAATAAGAGAAGATGACGATAGAAAATTAAAATTAAACAGAAAAACAGACGGACACATGGATAGATACAACAGGAGGATACCTATAGTCCATTCTGATTTTAACGCTTATCTCACATCGTTATTGTGCTTGTATGGTTTTCTATCTGTTCACAATACTTTTTTAAAGTTTTACATCTAAAAGAAAAATATTGATTTTTTTTTTTCAATCAAAGTTGAGTTACAGAAAAAAACCGCATGGGGAAAACACAAAAACTTTGTCGACTTGCTTTTTTGACATAATGAATAACTTTTAATTTTATATACTACATTGACTATGGATCCGTCGGATGAAATCTTAAAAACCGAGGTCCCGGGTCACGGCAGGCGTATGCACGATAAAGAACTATCTCTGCTCAATTAATGGCTCTGAGTGACGAGTAATGGTCAAAATCTGAAGCCCCTTACCGGTATATGGTGACATCTCTATATGGGTGAAAAATTCTCAAATGAGAGGTAAAACTACATGAAATCAGTCAATCACACATTATATGATTATTGTATTTAAAATCATAAATGATTTTAAAACTCGCTTTATTTGTTTGATATCGGCCCCATGCCTCTATATAAATTTCAATTTCAAGTTCAGACATTTAAATCTGACTCAATTGACTCTTATAAGAGTACATTCGTGAGAATAGAAAGCCCTGTCTAAAGTTCAATGGTATTATGTTTAGATATTTTGAGACACTGTTACAAACTCCTGAAATTATTTAATGGAATTTCTTTCATTTCGCTTCTAAAATATTGTGTCTGTAATGATAGTATAAAAATATAAATTATGATTGTAAAGAAACATATTCTTAACTTTAGTAAAATATACTTGGGTATGCTTTTGTTGTTTTAAACAACAGAGTGAGTTGATTGTATATTGTTTAACGCCCCTCTCGAGAATTTTTCACTCATATGGAGACGTCACCGTATGCCGGTGAAGCTCTTCAAAAATTGACCTTTACTCGGCACACACGGCCATAGAGCAGTGAGGGATCTTTATCGTGCCAATGCCTGTAGCTTACTAGGGGCCTCGGTTTTTAAGGTCTTATCCGAAAGACCCGCAACTTTCACTTCAAAGTGCCGAGCGCATGGCGAAAGAACAGTTGCTACCCATTTTATCGACTGGGTCAGTCGCGGCCGAGATACGAACTCACGACCTCCCGATCACGGAGCGAGCGCTCAATCGACTGAGCTACCGTGAACGGTTTTAAACAATAGAAAATTGGGTTCTAAAATTTCTTTATAATAAAACAGTCTTATATATTATATGAAATCTTACAGAGGTTTTAATTAAGACTTTTAAAGGCATAAATTTAATGTAATTATAACAATGGAACTATCTTTTCGATCTGCTCAACATTAGATCGAGTGTAGAGACTGTAATAAAATTCCTGGGAATTTTCTGTGGATTGACATGTATAATGCACCTCTGCAGGACTTGCCGCAGAGTATGAAATGAGAAAAAGCACAAAATTTCACGAGATATTAGAATAGACGGATTTTTTCCCTGGGTGTTTACACAAAAAGAAAGCTACAAGCTCAACTGTTTACTGTGTAAGAAACCAGTATATATTAATATCGTACAGAAAGCTATAAAGGACATAAAATCGGGGGGGGGGGGAATCTGGAAGAAGATTCCGATAGATTGGGAGCTAAACATCTGAGATACAAGTAAGAGCCAAATAGACACAATTCTTTTGCAACAATATTATGGGTTTTTGACAAAAAAAAAAGCCAAAGAATCGAATCCATCCAAAAAATTAGTATTTCCACGTCATTTTTTTCCTTCTTGATATACCCCGCTATCACTTATAGATCAAATCCCATCTCCGAACTTATTCGAGACCTAGTAGAATCATTTAAGTCTAATTATTATCAAATCAAATCCAAGCAGGCTATTTCGAGGTAATTTGATGTTGGATTCAGCAACCTTATTTAAAGTCAGCTGTTCTTCAATTTGTAAGTTTTTTTTTCTGTAGAGAAAGCAATGATACATCCCCCCGTCTCCCGGAAATTTTGTGACATAAAATCGCTCTAGTTTGCCTTTTTCTTTTTGTTACTTAATTTTAGCCTCACAATCATTAAAAAGGAGAAAACATCAATGTTTATAATTTTATATATATATTATATATATATATATATATATATATATATATATATATATATATATATATATATATATATATATATATATATATATATATATTGTTCAAATGCGTTTTTGTATGGTATGTTTAACATCTTTCTAATATCTTATTAATACCTTGAATATCTTTAATTTTCCTCAAATACAAATAATATTTCTGTCCTTCGTCAAATATGAAAAAATGGTAGTTAAAAACATTCTTGATTGCGATGTTTAATTTTGTCAAGTATTACTAGTTTTAGATGCACCAAACATCTACTTTTTTTCACGAAGAAGTATAATGTTAATAAACCAATGTCAATATCCGTCTTTATTTCTCGTTTGCTTGTACACAGAACCCTTTTCAATTTTATTGTTTGTCTAGCCTATTACAAACGTCTACGAGTGCTTCAAGCATAAAATCGATATAAATCTTTTGATGCATCTATTCACATAAACTTTTTCTTCGTACTGCAAAAGCCTTTAAACCCCTTCGATAGTAATACATAATACCATCGGAATATTGATCAAAGTAAAATATGGTGATAAATAAAACAAATTTAATGGCAGGTTATTATGATATTTGGAAGTCGATTAAACATATTTGTTAGATGTTTTTTAAATTATTGCACGATAGAAAAGCAAAAGAAAAGGTATGTCCTTAGGACGATTTTATTAATTTTAAATTGTTTTAAATCCGTTTTAGTAGTAAATAGGTCAATTTAAATTTGTAAATCAAAGGAAGGACAATAAAGTAAGTATCTTTTAAATCTTTTCCATAGTATATCTAAAAACTCCAATCACATCGAATTAAATGCGTTTAATTTTTTTAGCGTCTAATTTAACTTGTGAAACCAAATTTTCTCTTTATTAACTTTCGTTTTGTTGTTACTGAGTTGTTCTGCAACAGAAAGGTAACGTGTTGTGAACAGGTAAGCCTAAGGTTATCGGATGTATGTTGTGTGAATGTTAGTACAAAATAAAACAAGACATTCCTGGGATGATTTTTTTTCTTTACAATTTGACAATTTAAAAACAATTTTAAGTCGAGAGCATATTACATAAGAAAAAAAGAATTACTGCAGCGAAAGACGTGTGAAGATCAACATCAAAAATTCAACTTTATGTAATAATACTTTTATTCTGGTTGTAATGTTGTATTTCATTGGAATAAAATTTACTTTAGATCGTATAAAATGGGTTGCCTAATTCACAATGACATGTGTCAAAACGTATCAATCCGCCTGACCTTACATTCAAATTCTGTAGAAATTGAAGGCACTTTTAAGGATACTAATTGTTTTAATTACACCAAATGAATGAAAATTAAATTATAAGGAACGAACTTCTGAATAGCTACCTACTTTTACGGTATAAACTAAGTTGGAACAGTATACTATTTACACCGCGACACTCATTGCTCATTTGAATCAATATATGTTTTTACAAAGTCTGATTTTTTTATAATGCTAGATTTATCTCGATCTCTTAAATCTTCATAAGGAAATGTGGACGTATTCGTCCTCCCTTTTGAAATTGAAGGTCATGACATGTTGGATTTTATAGTTCACCAAGTTATTCCCTTCCTCATGCAACTGTTGAATTAAATTCCGTAAGTTGATTTGGACTGTACCATGTTTTCGCTACTTAAAACATTGAATTTGAATACAATCAAATATCAGGTATTAATTTAGAATATTCTCTAAATAATACTATCGAGAAGTACATGTTCTATTTTAGTTTCATCTCTACATAAAATAATTTCCCGGATATGTAAGCCTTATATTTTATTTTTTACGCTTACATGCATTCCGAGGGATTGACAAAAAATCGTGGACTAGCATCATGAAAACAAAAACCTATTATAGTACATCATTTCATTTAGAAAAGTTAATATAATCTTCTATATATAGAAAATAAAACGTTGATATTTTTATCAGAGAATAAATATAAATTTTATTTCACTTTAATACCTAAAAACGCTGTCGGAAGATATAGATTGTTTAAAAGAATCATAGGAATCATTTCTAATACTGTATATTCTATTGTTTGTATAGGAGCTAGAAAATGGCAGCAAGAAGATATTCATCTCAACATGCTAAAGCCATCGTTAAATGTGAGAACTGTGAGAAAAATCCCTCACAATATATATGCAAAACATGTCCTGGTCATCTTTGTAAGGAGTGCAAAATAGATCACGAGTCCAGAAAAATAACAAAAAATCACGAAATTACACACGTTAACAAAAATATGGAGGGGGCACTGTGTTTACTATTCTGTAGAAGGCACGCAGTAAAGAAATTGGAGTTGTATTGCTCTCTTTGCAAAGAGCCTATCTGCACTAAATGCCACATAGAGTCCCATAATGGACATAAAATGGAAGAACTAGCAACTGTATACAATGAAATAAGATGCGAACTTGAAAACAAAAAGGAGTACATAGAAGGGGAGCTTATGCCGCGATATAGAGAATTGTTATCTGATGAGAACATCAAAAAATCAGAAATATCAAAAAGAACCGACGAAGTTCGAAAACAAATAGAAGACCACAAAAAATCAATAATAGAGCAGGTTACGATGATAGAAGAGAATACGCTACAGATTCTACGAAATGAGGAAAAATTGGCCATAGAATCAGTTGAGAAAACAGAAAATGAAATCAAAAGGAGAATTGAAACACTGAAGAATATCAAAGAGGACATTTCTAACACTTTGGTTGCAAACCCAGACGTCACATTTTTCAAAGCAGCATCAACAGCATCTTGCAAGAAATTCAAGTATTCCCAATAACGATTGATTACAGGCTTGAAAACTTTCAGGCGGGTGACAAAAAAGTATTTACAACAGAACGTCCATTTGGAAAAGCTCCAAAGTTTATAAAAAAGGAAGAAATTAACTGGCCAGGGTTTGGGTTTTCAAAACCAAATTGCAATGAGACACAGTCGATCTACGAAACTTGGAAGAGGATAATAGAATCTCCAAATTGATGCTGTTGCACTGAGAATCGAAAATGTACACTCTTTTAAAAGAAAATGAGATTGCTTCATAGGTTATCTAACATTAATTAAATGAAAACAGCAATAACTAATATATTATATATACTATATAAGAATCCTTCATGTACAAAAAAAAAGTTACATAGCGGCTTCAAGTACAACCAAGCTTCTTTCTTTACTTATCATTAGCTCAGAATATTACCAGTAGTGAAAGAGAAACATCAGGAATATTAAAGTGGGGGTGTAAATCATTTATTAGATTAATTAGAGTCTTTTTGATATCATTGACAGCTGCTTTTTCAATAAAAATGGAACTCGTAAATTTACTTCCTTAGTCATTGGTCGTTTGCAAAATTATTTTGTCGAAACCTTTTGATTGTACACACAAGTTCTCTTAAGTCGACATCACAAAGATGCTTGAGTTTCTGGTTGACAGTGTCTTATTGTTTTTCGAAACCAGGCCTTCCAACAATCTTTTGGAATTTTCATGGATACCAATAGTGCCCCATTAGTAGCAGACTTATTTTTATATTCAAATGAAGCAGAATATGTGCAAAATCTTATGCTTGAAAAGAAGAAAACACTATTGCCCTCAACTCAACATTTATATATATCGACAAAGTATTGTCAATTAAAATTGTAATTTCCCTTTTTATGTCCGTTCGATATATCTTTGTGAGCCTGAAATAAAAGATACCGCACATTCTGATACATTTGTTTCATATTTGGATAATTTGATTAAATAAGAAGTAAATGGTAATCTAACAACCAAGCTCTACGATAAACGTGATGACTTTAACTTTTCTATCGTCAATTTCGAATTCCCTTACTTATGCAGGAAAATACCCTCATCACCTGCTAACGGAGTTTATGTGTCTCAGTTGGTTCGATACTAAAACAAGAGCATGTTTCTAAAACGAGGCTCTTTATTGACAAACAAGTTGAGGGAACAAAAATAGCGATTTCGTTAAAAGTCATCATTTTGTAAGTTCTATAGTCAATACAATGACCTTGTCAGAAAAGACAATTTTTCATTGAGTCAAATGCTGACAGACGTTTTTCCTACTTATTGTTAGTCCATTATTCGTACACTGAACTGACAACGGATTTTTTCCGTTATTTTCCGATCATGAAAAGTAGCACACAGTGGGTGTAATAGGTCAGCAGGGGATACTTACTTCTCCATGGTACCTGATCCCACCCCTGATGCCTTGGAGGTCCGTGTTTGCTCTAAGAGCTAATTTTCACGGTCATTTTGCGACTGAAATCGCAAAGGAGCCACAAAATAAGTTAAAACATAGACCCTGATATTCAGTAGTTTTAAACAAAAATGAAATTCAATACATGTATAAGGCAAATATTCATTTCAATAATAACTGAATAATAAATAAATTGATATAGATTAAACAAAACTGCAAAACAAAAATTTGTATGCTTCCAAAATACATTTACATATGTTTACTGTTAAAAAAGACACACACCTCCCAAACACATAGGTACTTATGATGAAACAAATATCTGCTTATAGCATATAAAATTAACAGTGCCAGTAGTATCACGTTTTAAGCATTTAATTCTTCTGTGTAATTGTTCAAACAAACACTCTAAAATTCAGATCTCTACATTTGCAATTAATTGTCTGAAGAGCAAAAAATCTTTAATTTTGTATTTTTAAAAGACTTTATTACATGCAGTTTGAAGAAATATTTTCGTGGATACATCACTCATTTTTCAACATTACAAAATTATACATACAATACACGTGCAGTATTTTGACCCGCAGTGTCAATGCAATTTTAGAGACGCAGTTATCTAAAGCGTTTTTAGAACTACTGTATAAATAGATCAACGCATTTTAATCTTAATTCACATTTAGAATTTCACAATCATGATAGTGTGGAAAAAAATGGCTTGTCTCATGTGTCTAGTGAGGTCTAGAGAAGATAATATTAGTTACATAGTCTTTTAGTGACTTGGTAAGGGATGATACCTGGTTAGTAAATTTCATACCTGGCGAGGCGGAGTTATACCTTGTTCCTTAATTGACTCTGTAACAATTTACCCCACCGATGAAAAATTTACGTATTATCTGTGGTTTATTAAGGTTTTTTTCTGTTTTTCTCTGATACATGCTTCATCACGCTTATATTGTGCCTATTATGACGTCACACCGCCTTCACGTGACAGACTTCAACCAATCGTAAGCCAGAATTTCACGGAAAAATCAACAGAGGTGGGGTAATTGTTTTTTCCAAACCAAACAATGGGTACTAATTAGAGCAAATTGGCCATGTTCACAGGTTTTCAATACAAACTGAAAAACAGTACAATAATTTGATTAATTTTATATGTATGTATAAATTTATCGTGTTGACGACAAAAAATCTTGCTGTGGCTTTAATACTTTAACTTTGGCGGAACTGTGGTGCTACAAAATTTAACTTGTAGCCAAGTAGCCAAGTTAAACACCCCTACTAATGTGTTCAGAACTTTTGATTTTTCGGTGTTCTGCAAATTATAAAACCCCGAGGAGTTCAAAGTAGCTTTGACAGTAGCTCTGGCGAGAGTAAGCGAGACAACAGCGAGATAGGGTAAATGATTCACGGAAATATGGCTAGGAAGTGACTAGCACGTGGAGACATGGTAAACAGAAAAGTTATGTTGTGTTTTAATTTTTACCACTCTATAATAAATGTAAAAATTCAATTTCATTTGAATTCATTCGACTTTAATAAGTTTATATATTCCCTATGGAATCATTTTTCTGACTTCATGTATTAAAGTTTCTTTTTGGACAAATATACATGTATTTGGAACCAGGACTATATTATTTGGCATCAGTTAAGCCAATGAGGCACAAACATGACTTTTACTGACAAATCAGATGAATGAAAATTGCATTATGGGTTACGAGGGTACAACAGGAATTTTGCACCTGTAATAAAAACACAAATGTAATGCCAATGGAAAAGGTACAAAAACACTGTTCCACCCATTTCGTAAAGGAATTTCAGTTGTTTCTTTTTGTCCTATTATTTCCATGCTAACAATGATAAGCAATTCATTTATTGAATAAACGTAAAATTCTAGATTTTTCTAAGTCATACTACAAGGGAATTTGAGTTTGATTCCTTTGTTGTACTATCGAGGAATACAATTGTCAGGTGGATTCCCAGACCAAAAACACGTGTGATCACAGGTATTTTCCGTTTAAATGCTCGGTTTCCCTACCCTTCAAGCTCTGGTGTTCTGAACTTGACACAAACTACATTTTATTATACATCTAGTTAACAACAAATTAAAAACGCCGGTGACATCTTTCATAGTTTCTAATCTTTGCATTTTTCATATGAACATTTCTTTCGGCCTATTTTATATCGATCATAGATTGACATGAACCACGTGTTAGAAGTAAAATAAAATCATGTATTCTTAGCGTAAACGTTGCAATTTATTCAATGATTGGTCAGGTGGTGCGTGGTAAGATCTGCCGTGCGCATTGATAACAATAGCCATATAAGGCATACAAAGGTTTTTCAGCGTACATGTGAATATTTTAAACACATTTATTTTCTACCATGGTGTCGGACTATTTTGGGGGATTTGTTTCTAGACAGCTCCAATTTTTGCCACGAATTATCACAAAAGCGAAGATAAAGTATATTGTTTTGCCCCCCCCCCCCCCCTTTATCTACCGTAACATGAAAGTCCTTCAGAAAGACCTAGAAACACATTTTTACAGGACATGTTTTCAAAAGAAACCGACTATGGCAATTTCCTGTTTACTGCCAATTTTATTGATAAAAGCGGTTCTACCCCGTAGTCTTTGAATTGGTCAACCTATACCACGTGGTTTGAATTTAAATCACAATAACATTAGCAGGGGTGCGTTAAACGGCCCTAGGAAAACCCTGCAATCAATACATGCTTTTGTGGATTTTTTTTTAGTTTATACAAATACACTGCTTTCTTTTCTAATGTTTCCTGTTTATCCAGCATTTTCAAAGTTTATTTTGGAGGTTTGACGCAATTGATTTTTACTGCTATTCGCTGCTTTGCCTCTCTCCTCCACATTCATTGATTTTTGCCTTTCTAAATAAAGTCTGTATGCCTCTGGAAATTGATACCCATTTTCTGAAGCGATCTTTTACACAACGTTTTGGCATATTATGACAGACTTAATTTAGACATTTGAAATTTAATATTCTTTAGGAGCTACATGTATTTATGAGAGATACGTCACTAGAAATTATGAAGTATATGATTAGTAAATACCTCATCTTTGACCCTGCTTAGTTTCTCATGTTGCTGTTCTTAAGGACAGATGATCCAAACAATTTTTTTCTTTGAAAAAGATTTAATATCATGTCACAAGTTTAGAAATGAGGATGGTTCTTAGAATATTTTTCTCCTAAGAACTGGAATATGAAAAAGCTAAATGGTAAAAATCAGCGTGTGATATTGCTAATTTTTTGTCATTTTTCCCCTTAAAATTCACCTGGATTGGTATATTTTTGTAAGTTTTATATTACACATTTAGCACCAAGATAACATATTTTAAAAATTTATTTTCACCTTTAAACCTTTACTGAATGTGATTTGTCTATATTTGTTTTTTTTTTTATTGAAATATTACTAATAGTTTTTAAGTCTATTTCATTTCGCAGTTCTTCGGAGAAAAAATTCCAAGAACCATCCACATTTCTAAACTTGTGACATGATATTAAATCTTTTTTTAAAGAAAAAAATTGTTTGTATCATCTGTCCTTAATCCACAGACAGTCTGTTATTTCT